TGTACTTTTTAACATCCCTAACATCCACAATTTCCGCCATCATCATTTGACCACCTTTCGTTACGAAGTTGAGTCTGCTACTGACCACACTCAGAATTTTTGAAGGATATGCTTCCTATGCCAAGTATCAGGTGAAGATTATGAATATCCTTTTACTTATGTCACTGCTTTGAAGGATATGCTTATACTCAAAAAGCAAAAGCATTTACTTCAAATTATTATAAATACCATCTGGAGGATTTCCTTCAAAATTTGCAAGTACAAGGATATCCTTTGTTTTATGGATACAGCTCAATGATAGCGACAGCACATACAGTGACAGTTCCTGCTCGAATAATGGTGAATCATAAAACCGCAGCGCAGCTGATTACCTTTTGTTCAATTGAATATTTATTCATTTATTTATATTTGCATCTATTTACTTTATATATTATTCGGCAGCAGCGGTGGCCGCAGTAGTAGACTCTTCGGTCTCCTGATCAGTCGCTGTGCGGGTTCGAATCCCGTCCCAAGAGAAATTTTTCTCATGGCTATGGATGTTGTGATTGTCCATAGGTGGTAGACGGTCTCTGTCAAACGCAGAGGTACCACCCGGCGGATCTCGTAGGTGGAGCCAAAATGTGTGCATGTTGCACGCACACGTGTTCCCTCGCCAGAGTCCGTGTGGCGTCCACCTTTTCCCCTGTATCCCCCTATAGCTCCACGGTACCCATGGGTGTTTAGGCCTTAGGCCTTCGTGGTGGTTGGAGTATAAAAAAATTCATAGTGATTTTGTTTGATTTTATTTTTTGAATAAACAGACTTATCGTTAAATTTTTGTGCGTCTTTCAGTTTCAGAACTTTTCATTTTTGTGATTTGTATCTTTAGAGATTAATCATATTGATTTTTCATTTTGTTGAAACTGAAACCGCTATTTGAAAGCTGCATTAACGATCTGATAAATTTAATCATTTTTTTTCTATTAATCAGTTACAGATCGCTGCTATAGCTATTCCTGTTTAATGATGACAAGTGTTGCAAAATGATGTAAATTCTACTTTTAGCCCTTTCCGAAGTGTCTGCAATAATCCTCGCATTCCATTGCTGTCAACAGTTGTGGTAATATGAATTCTAATATACTGATTTGATTGTCCGCCTTTTTGGTCTAAAAACTACAATCGGTACATTCACATTTTTGAAAATCTGGCAAACTATCCGCCTTTTTCTCAGAAACTAATCATAGGATAGCTTTTGTCACATGGACATTTTTTTTCGGGAAGGCAAGAAATATATGATACTGAATGTTTAGCAAATCGACTGGGATCCATTTTCGATTGTTTTTTTGCCTGGTCCTTTTCCCGGCCTGACACAAATATGGCGCTCCAATCGGCGAAAATGTACAAGCTATAATCCGAATATATTAATATTGCCGCGGTTCCCTTCGGATTGATTCTCCTCCGTGTGTGTACGTTAACGGCTTATGTAACACTACCCACGTCTAAGGTTCTAAATACCAAATTCATTGGCCTCAAAGTGACCTTTTGTTCTTGTCTCCATACCGTAGGACTGATAAACTTGTTAGGTGACGTCGCAAGAAACAGTAGAAAGGAAATTCGGGAGGCAAGGACAGAGTTGTAACTCTGTTTGTTTGCCTTTGTCCGACAAGATGTTATTACCCCTTACAGCATGCTGGCAGCGTCGCTGCCGGCCTCCTTTCTGTTAAGAAGATTGATGACGACTTCAGACCTGTCATCATGTTTTTTTATTGGACTACAAAGCATATTCAGGTATCAGGTGTTTAGCTTGGTGTACACAGGTTCCGCGCCTTTGTATAGTCAGAAAAAATACTATGAACGTCTTATCTAAGAAGTTGCCTAACCAAACACTTTCAATTTCCATCGTCACAGCTTTACTGCCAAGTAAGATCGGAGTAATTCCCTTAGAATTCTTAGCTCAGGCGATCGGATGAAATTCTGCGTTTTCATTAGCACCATAACGCGTTATGAAGTATTCCTAGTTCCTAGATCTATGTAGTTCGTGTTAGTGAGCGTGGTCCATTTCACTGAAATGAAAGTACATCACTAACACAGACATCGTGCAAGCTGACCCTAAAGAGTTCCGTTCATCTATTTGGTTATTAGTCCAGTGAAAGGTAATTTGTGAATAACCTCTAGGCATAGCTTTATAGATTACCTCATTGGCGCAAAAGTTGAAAGTATCATCGATAAATTTCCTTGGGTGTCAATTTAGGCAAAGGTTTCCAAGATTTGGCGGTTTATATTTTCCGAAAGAGTTAAACATATATAAATCATAAAAAGATCTAAATTAATAATATGACTCGTGGAAAAAAGATTATCTGACGAACAGAGCATCCGCGCATGCTACATCCTCAAAGAAAGAATCGTGAGAACGGAAGGTGCTAACAAGTAGAAAAATAATATATAAATAAAAAATTCTCACATCAGCGCTTCTTCTGGAGTAACGGTATGGTAATCAAGGATGCTTAATCCTCGGATTAGAAGGCAATGGGTCGAAAATTAAAATCCTGTTAGACACACCATGTAAAATGGATAATTATTATGCTTCAACTACAGTCAATTAGAAACCTACAAAGAAGAGCAGAAGATTCCCAGGCAGATGACTGTAGGTGCTAAAATTCGTTGAAATATAATGTGAACAGTGGAGCTTCGCTCATCGATTTGTTATTGAACTTATAGAAAAATCAGTTTACAAAGTGACAAGAGGCAGTTTGAACACCTAAATTAGTGAGTATCAACCGAAACACCTGGTGCAGTTTGGACATAACATGTGAACAACCCGTGAGTAAGGGTTCTTTGAACGATTTGAACACAAAATAATATGATGCAAGCTTAAGTAGATGAGGAAGTTTGAGTAACTACAATTGATAGAAAATATACAAACACTAATTTTAAAAAATATATATCATAAACCATTGTCAAAATCTAGTGAACTGCTACTTCTGGGAACACAAATTCTTGATAGTTTTACGATATACAAAATACCAGTTCAACATAAGGATAAAAGCAATATAGAACATAGAAAATATCACTACAATACAAGAAACAAAAAGCCCAAATTCGCCTACTTACACAAAGAAGGCATTATGATTAGGTCGTTCATGTCCCAGGGTCCACTAATAGGTGTATACAATTATATACCAAAAGAAATAATTAAATATAGAAATCACCAATTTAAAATACGAATAAAGGATAACAAATCTGCTAAATTATGAAATATACTCAGACTTTTAAAGAAAGCTGTAGCAATTGTTCTGCAATGACGGTGATGCGTGTGTGGATAGAAGAAGATAGGGGACCACAGAGCGTCAAGATAGGCGCTTCAGACAACTAGCCCCTCGAGACCGTTTTGCTACTAGGCGTCAGATCGCTGACCAATGGTTTGGAGAAGGTTGACCTGTTACTATGCGTAGATTCTATCGCCGCATTCGAGCCTTTGGACTTTTTTCTTACCGTCCACGGTTAGTGCTTAGTCTGACTGCGGACCACTGTCGTCAACGTTTGAACTAGAGCAGAGATCGGCAACCTTGGGAGGCAGAATGGCATAATGTCATCTTCAGCGACGAATCGCGATTCTGTCTAGGTACGCGCAATGGTCGTAGAAGGGTAAGACGCCGCCCTGGAGAACTGCGTGACATTGGATTTGCTGTTGAGAGGCGTGTACACAGGAGTGTTGGAGTAATTGTTTGGGCGGCTATTCCCTACGGTAGCCGATCGCCCCTATCTAGAGGGCCGTCCACATGCCCTTTTTCAGCAAGACAACGCAGGTTCCCATACTGCTCGTCATACTACGAACTTTCTTCAAGAAGCAGGAGTTAATTTTTTTGCCGTGACCACCCCCGTTCACCAGATTTAAATACCTTCGAACATGTGTGGGATGTGATGGGGAGGAGACTATCCACTTTGCATCTTCCGCCACAGACTCTACCACAGCTAATCCACGAAGTTCGAGTTGCTTGGAACGAGGTGTCACAACCAGACATCGATCATCTCATTTTGTCGATACGTAGAAGTATACAGAAGTGTATTCAGCTGCGGGGTCGCCCAACACATTACTTATTTATTTATTTATACAACTTACGGGCGAACCCATTATACATGTGTATTATAAATAGAAAAATGCACCGCAAACGTCGCGCAAGTGGCGCTACATATGTGGTAACAGTAACATATAATGGTATATAAGGCAATCAACTGAGATTAACATAATCATCTATGAAATTTCATACAGATGTTCAAATAATCTAGTAATCATAAATTCAAATATTACAAAATCAAAAGACTACTCAAATGTAAGCATAGACTTTGATAAATTTCTAACAATATAATTACTCGAATTATACAAATCAAGCCAACAGTTCATTACATAGTTTAGATAATCTAAAAACAGGAGAATCATTTATCAGATCTGATTTAGGTGGCATAACATGAAAATAAACATTGTTACGTGGCACATAAAATCTGAATTATGACAATAAACTGAAATTATCAATAATGTTATTAAATAAATTATAAGCAAATAATATTAATTTTTTTATTATTATTTGTCAATCAAATTTCGTGAGAATGTTATCGTTTCATTCTTGATGTAAGACTACTTCATTGCCAAAAAATCAAGTTGAGGAAATTATTTTTTCTGGGTGTAACACTTCTAACAATGTCACTGATTCACTTACTCATACTGAAAAAAAGACATAAAAATTTTGAAATTATAAAAAAGATTATATATAAAAAAATTGAGACCACATATACCCGGTTGCCTTCAAATAGATTTGTAGTATTCAAGGACTTTTTGATTATTCACAACCACGTACAAGAACACTACCCTTTTGTCGCATTTCTCTTTGAATTTGTTCTCTAAAATTGTATAAATGTTGTGAATAAATTATTATCATTAGTTGACACTTACCGCAGCCAATCATAATGTACTTCTCCCGACGCATCCACGTGACACCTTAGCACAACATCACTCCCACGTTGTATTAAGTTGGGAGATTCTGGTTCTTGAAGCTGAACAGAGACTTCATCGATGTCTGAAAAGGATATTTCAAAATTAGAACTTCTCATCGCCAAGAAAGGAGATATCTGTTTCAGCTAATAAAATATCTATCTTTAATGCATTTTTGTTCAGTCTATCAGCATCACGTCTGAATCACAATACATAAAATTTTTTACATATATTAATACCCGAGGAAGGTTGTAGGCGTGATTTTATCCAGGAACTCATCGTCGATTTTGCAATCAACGCTAGTACCAAAACCTTCGCCGACAGCGGCAACACCGCGGTCCGACATCGCCTCACTCAACCTGACCGTCAAGCAGACATTTTATTTTACACTAGCTGTTACTTGCCACTTCGTATGCTAGAAACTGTTACTAACCTAAAACATTGTTTTTAGTAATGCTATAAAGTTTCTATCAAGTTTTATTTCTTTGATAGCATGACAGATAACTTGCGTTCTTATTAGCGCTTCGACCTACACGATCGGCGGATAAAACCGCGGGACAGAAAGCTAGGCCACTAGACAAGAATTCTACCTAGCCACAAAAAAAAAACAATTGAAACACACAAGCATAATATGTCAATTAGTGGCAGATGTTCTGACCTTACTTGCAAAATTTGAGTTAAATTCGATAATAGTTTTTAATTTATCAAGTGAATTGTGAGAAAAAATGAGTAAGATCGAATGGCATTGAATATATCGTAACCTAGCGTAATAACCATCTTGCTCGACAATTTAAACATGAGTAAGGCGTCAGCCTGGCGGGTTCCACAACTGTTGACACCAGAACAGAAATAAAGCTTGTTAGAAATTTCAGAAAGTTAGTTGGACACTTTGACCAACGATTCCGACTTTTTGGCACAAATTGTGACGGGTGACGAGAGTTGGGTGTATCATTGATATCCTGAGACTAAAAAAGAATTCAAGCAGTGGGTTAATAAAGGATCTCCATCCCCCAACAAAGCATGGACATAACCCTCTGATGGAAAATTGATGCAACAGTTTTTGAGACAACAGGGGCATATTTCTCATTCAATATAATACTCGTATGCCAAAGGGGCAACAATAAATGCGAACGTCTATGCGAACCCGCTGAAAAATTTGCGCAAAGCAATCAACCAGGAAGGAAACGATTTTTCCAATCGAGAGGCGTTTCTGCTACATGACAATGCGACCGCGTATAAGGCTGCCAAAATTAGATCAACTGTGCAGGAATGCAGCTACGTTGAGATAGACCATTGCCCATAAGGTATGGACATGGCTCCGTCTGACTTTTATGACTTTAGATCACTAATGAAAAACCTTCGGGGACGCCGTTTTGGCTCAGATGAATTTTTATAAGGGTTATTTACATAAAAAAGTTAATGCATGCTTGTGATTAAAAAAAGTAATGGAGAAGACGTTGCATGGAGTCAGTCGTTCATACAAGGTCAAATAATGTCATAAGTCATCTTTATGAAAATTGACTATTAATAGCACCTTCATGTACTTCTCATTGATCAAGATAACCTCTAACGACCCGCTCGATGTATAAGACCGCATTCCGACGTAAAATCCATCCTAAATGACCTCTGAGATGATGATTCAGGTCGATTTGTAATCATCACTGAACTACTCGTTTGACATCCCGAATTCTTATACCCTTATCTTTCTATGTATCTCTGTATGCGAGTTGGAAGAAAAAGAGGATATTAAAAGTCTGTTTAGCATATCATTCACATTCTGGTCGACTTCCTATTGTCGATAAGTAATACCCAGAGAGTCGTGTCTCGTCACCCCTAGCGCATCAAGAAACAAAGAAATTAGGTCAAAGGTCTGGCGCACATACTAATATAATGAATAGAAATTCAACGAGCAACGGCACCACCAGCATCCAACGGATGTTGACTTCAAAATTCGAGAAGGGTGATATCTTATGCATTGGCGTCCTTGAGCATAAGAAGCACAAAAAACTGGTGCCGAGTAAAAAAATGGCGTCAAGTAGATTGACTCTGCACTTCCTACGCAACGCTGTCATCAGTTCATAAAGGATAAGTCTGAGAAAAAAGTCAGTTACCAAAATGTACAACAGAGAAATTAAATGGATCAGGTCAGTCAAACAGGCCCAGACAGTTAGCCCATAGACATTATTTCCTTGCCCTAACAGTCGCTATTGTGCATTTCGTGCATGGTCCATCTCTATGTTTTGCAATGCAGTACGGATAGATCAGTCGGCCGGATCGGTTCGCCGGGCGAAGAGCTTACATAGCAGGAGTACGCGGATCGATAACATTTCTTTATCATTCCAAGTTTTGATGTGAAATGTACGGGTGTATGAAATGTATGAAATATAGCTGATAGGTGCATAGAATTACCGGAGTTGGGAGCGTATAAATATGCTAAGATTAAAAAAAATTCATTTAGCCTCCACAATCCTCAACCCCAGAATTTGAAACCTTACAAATGTTTTTCTCAAAATGATCAGGACCCTCTGAAACTTCAAAAACGAAGTTTTCCTCCGCTGCCGCTGCACCGATTTTCAAAAACTACCTTATCGAGTTGCTAAAAGCTTCATAGTTTTCGAAAATCGATCCAGTGACGGCGAACTCAAAGGCCAAAAATGAAAAAAATAAAAATCGCGAAAACTCAGAGGATCTTGATTATTCTTATAAAAAAATTTAGGAATAAAAAATTGAGGGACGGGGAATGTAGGGAGATGGAGGAGAGTGTATCGTAATTTTCTGGCAGCAGTATGTTTATAAGCTTCTAACTCCAATAGTGCTTAGCACGCGACGAATTTACCCCAACAACGGAGAAAAGGTCAACGGTGCCTCAGCGATGTAACAATTGTGTTAGACCAATATAATTTATTGAATATAATTAATCGAATAGGGTGTCATCATCAGGGCTGAAGTTATTTGGTGTGAGATAACGCGTTTACTAGTCTTCCGCGAATATGAATCAAGCAAATAATACTAGAGCGTAAAATGCGTCCTCGATTATTAAAAAATAGCAATTTTACTATACTTTTCCTCCTATCATATTCATTTCATTAAAAGATCAGATGTAAGGGTTTCCATAGCCGACCAATAGTAGGCCTACTCACAGCCCATAGCTTCAATTTCTGTCAAATGAGCAATGCCTTTTCTCACTGATACTCATTTTACTCTACGGTATAACGATTTTTATAGCTTACGAATAATAACGATTCCAGAGTGAGCCAAAGTTGATTTAGATACGTACTGCATACTCAAAGTCTACTCGTATTTGTCCATACTTAGGTGGAAAGTACAGAGTCAATCTACTTGACGCCATTTTTCAACCTTCAGCTTTGCTGTAAATTTTACTTTTACTGAAATGTGGTTCTCTATAAATAATATTGAAGGGGATATAAGGTAGGCAATCATCAACAATTACTAACAATTTATGTTCAATCAACCATGCCCTTTGCAAACAATGCCTGATACCGCTCATGCCCGGAGAGAGACATCGCTCTGCCTGGGATACGCTGTCGGAATGCTCAAAAAGCAAGAGGGGAAAACTTTAAAAAATGATCCAAAGTGTAAAACACTCTCGGAATATAACTGAGGAAAAAGTATAACTGTCAGCCGTTGGCTGGAATGAAAAGGGATAAAGTTGAAAAATGCCCGATCCGGCAGCAAACAACTTAAATAAGATTTCGCTGACGTTGCAGTAAACTATAAAGCTCAATTTATAAAAAGTGGGAGTAGAGACAAAAATAAAACATAGACTAGTTCAAACCCTGGTTCAGAACCCCGGTCATGCTTTGAAAAACTGGAACGTCTAATAGAGTGACTAAGTGTTACTCGTGAAACTTCATTATAAATACTTCTGATTTGCTGCAACAAAATACGTAGATTCAGGAAGAGTAAAAAGTTGAGAAAAAAGTCAGTTACACAAAAATTGTAACCATTAAAAAGCAAATAAGCATCTACTTTGCCAAAAATTATTTCATTTTCCAGTTTAGGAAAAGAAAGGAATTTGGAAATCATTACTTTATGCTCAAGACTGATAAAAATAAAAGGAATATGTTTTTGTTTGTTTGAAGTTGTTTTCTCATAATTATATGTCACTTAAGTTTGCTCAGTTTACGACATGTTGTTTTCACCAAAACTAACTTATTAGTGAAATTTGTCCTCACTTGTAGCATTCAAGTCATTTTGTTTACGTGCCGAATTCAAATTATAAGATTTTTAACTTTATTTACAATTATGGTTTCGACGAAATCCATGTCATCTGTCTTGAGCCTGGTTCCATAATAAATAGAAAAAAAAATATTTTCACTGCCCACGTCTACTGACGAGGAAGTGTTGTAATCGCGAAAAAAATCGAAAATGAGATTATATTATATTCTTTGGATGTTAAATGACCATGTCACTCAATTCCGTCGGTCGGTCGGTTCAGCTCTAATTTCGATGAAAATTTTACACAATATTACTAAGAACGCAAAAAAAATTGTTCAAACTTCGTTTTTTGACACTTTCCAGGGGATCCTGATCATTTTTAAAAAACCTTACTTGGAGGTGGGGGCTGTAAGGTACATGTATATGCTCCCAACACTGATAATTCTATGAACCTATTAGGCATATTTCACACACATCATTGATTTCTCTGTATATTATCCCTGAACACTTAATGAAAATATTCTCGGGAGACGCCTCGCTTATCTGTCGGCTGCAGCTGCTGCTGGCATCGTGCGCCGACTGTGATGACTGTTCTGGTATGGAATCACACGTATTTCTGCCGCGCTACAGCAAAGTGTTCTCTATACTCTGACCGCGCTAATGGTAGGGCAGAGAAAGAATGTCAATGGATTAATTGTATGGACCTGTTTGACTGACTTTTCTCTCAGACAGGGTCTAGTTTGTGCTGAACATATTCCTTTATCTACTGATAAGGGCGTTGCGTGGGAAGTGCAGAGTCAACCTACTTGACGCTATTTTTTTTAGGTTAGGCTATGATCGAGCTTAGCTCATCAGTTTTCTTTGCACTCTGAAGTTAGCAAGACTTTGACTGATTTGACGGGCTTA